TATCATAATATTATTAATATATCATATAATTTAATTATGTTTCTGTCTTTCGCATTATTATTTATAATTGTCAAAGCATATATGATTAATCTATTTTGGTGAAATACTTTGAGCGAGCCTTCTAGATTTAGGGATACTTTTGCCAATACTTTTTATCGTGTTGTATGTGGAGTAGAAATAAATTTCTGCTTCTGACGACAACCTTACATTTGCTATTAATATTTGTTCCAGATGGAGGCGTGGTAGGTGGTTCGAGAGCAGGACCAGTGGTGACTCCGCATACACTGGAACTGACACCACGTGGTAGGGTTTTGCTGCAGCTCGCACCGCCGGAAACTGCTCGGGCGTACCTGCCGCCAGAGTATCGACCCGGCCGCGTATATTCGGACACGGATTCGGAAAAAGTACGTCACATTCAGCACTTAATGGCGCACCATTAATTCAATAACGAATTGCAGCCTGATCGACTTCTGTCACTCGAAAGACTTGAAAATGAAGTCGCTGCGATTTTTGTTGATGACGTGGACCGCTATATTAGCGCTAATCGCAAAGTGCGCGCTAGTTATAATACATTAAAATTTATTAAACTATATATATTTAACAATAAGATAGATTGCCTTTTCCCATTTGCTTTTCCCATGATTTTCATCCTCTTTTCGATCCGACCGTTCGACCCGGAACACGTGTTATTACACGAAATGTTTAAACAAGCTTTCGAATGAACAATCATGTAATGCGATATTATACCGATGGAGGTAAACATCCGAAACATGAAATCGAATGATTGCGTAATCGCGTAATAGATATGAGATTCAAGAAACGTGTAGCAAAACACGTTTATCCGGAACATCTCCATTTCTCCAATTGTTCAATTGTACGTGTATGCGTGGCATGAATGATAGTCATATTTACAAAAGGGCGAGGCCGATGGTATAATTAAAAGAGCATCGCGCGCGGAGAATTATTAACGCGTCCTATTAAAATCCTTTCAGCGCGAAGAGGATTAAGCCGCCATGGTCGTCCTTTGACGGCTCGACGACTTTTTATTTGCTCGACTTCCGCGTTTCAGCGCCGGGTGAATTTTTAACGGGCCGCCGCGGCGCGAGGCAGAACGTTCGAAGAACGAAGAGAGACGCAACGACGGCTGGAGAAGCCAGTTTTTGTAAAATCTTTAGTAAAATCCTAACGGCACCGCTCCTCTCGCATTTTTTTCCGGCACGTCCGTCGGATTTTCTCTCTGTCTCTACCACCCCTTTCCCCCCCCGACAGCGATCCCTTTCGCTTCCTTTTAGCGCCATCCTTTCTTCTTGACGGCCGGACGAATCCCCGTTTCAACACGGACCGGTATTTATCTCCTGCAGATTAAAGAGAGAACAAACGACGCGAACGATAAATAAACTTTGTCGCATCGTTCTTTTATATCATCGATTCTAAAGCCTCTCTTTATCTAATCTTGTTTCTAACGCGAAGATAAGTCCTTGCAGACAGCGCAGCAATCCTGACGTATCCTGCCATGTATCGCTTGTCAAGCATGCGTACGTACGCGATTGCGCGTAATTCATGCTTGTACGAAAATAGAAGAACGTTACAGTTTGTAAACTATTGAAAGAGACAAAATAAAAATAGAATTTTTAATAAGCACAATGTTTATAGAATGAATGTACATGACAAGAGTGAATAATACCATGTTGAAAAAACAACTGAAGGAAGGAGATAGACTTTTATTCAATTCAATATTCAATTCAATATTCTATAGCTAGAAATGTTGCGTTATGAAAAATCATAGAAACTCTAAATAACTTCCATTTTATAAAAAAAAACATTAATGTATATATTTATTAATATATTTGAAAAATACGATAGTTTACAAACACAGTTATAACATGAAAAAATTGGAAAGAAATCATTTAATAAAATTTAAAAAAAATTCGAACATGCTCTCGTATTTCATATTTTATTATTTTAAAATTAAAATTTATAATTCAATGTAAGAAAATATTCCGAATTTGAATAAAAAATATTTTTCTTCCATATGAAATTATGACATAGAATAGCATTAGTTATCTCAAAAACGCGATATTGACGAAATGTTAAAATATGAAAGTTTACAAAAATATGAAAGTTCTTTCAATTCAATTCAATTCATTAAAACTTAATATTTCAATCTGTTTTCTCTCTATCTTTTTCTCTCTATCACATAAACCAACATCATGTTCATCAAAATGTAATATTCAGTTTCAATCTAATAAAGTACTGGTGCATCTTCATTAACGTTACTGTAAAGCATATCGAGAAATAAATTTCAATTCTGGCAAGAAAATTTTAGTAAGAAAAAAAAATGAGAGGTTACGGTGCATGTAACAAAAAATATAAGTTTTATTGTGCTTTTGACTCAGAAATAATTATCACTTCATTCGATATTTAGCATTACTTCTTGAATATAAAGATGATAATGAAAGACATCTGTGAAAGGCATCTAATTCAATGTCGTTGTCAGAAAGCGCGAAAAAAAAATCGTATTTTCTTACAAGCTCTGTCTGTAATATAATAGAAAAGAAAAAAGAGCAGAGTGACAAACTTGTGCAACTTTCTTGTAATTTGTTCTGATGTAATTTTGGATTGTGAGTCTATAATCTGCACATTTTATAATCTATATTCTATGTCCTTTCCTTTCCCCATCCTAGCGATAATTTAAAACATTAATAAAAAAGTTTTGAATTACAATTAAAAATAATTGTATATATTGTATGACTTCTTTATTCCGAATTCAATGTATGCGTATTCTTATGTTTTGTATAATTTTCTACGTTCCATGGAAGTTCCAGCATATACTTTTAAAAAAACCTTTCTAAATTAAAATTTGTCGAAAAATTAATCTTTAATATATATTTTTCGCTTAAATTATGCCTTCGATCTAAAATCCTGCCCTGAATCCATCACTGATAACGAAGTCCTATGCATCTTGACATTCACGTCACGACTCCACTTTTCCGGAGAACACGAAATTCCCGCCGGTGGCGGTTGTGGTACCACGGTACACAACGACGATTACCTGGGCGATAAAGCCAGCGCGAAAAAGCACTTCTTTCCGGCGGTTGTCGCTCTTACATTTTTCACTGCGTGACACGGAACACAAGCGAATTGTTGATGATGATCTCTGCGACACCGCGGGTACACGACGAGAAAAGCGCAGGTGTTGTAACCGTAGCACAGTTGCTTCTCTTTCGCATAAATAAACGAGAAAGCCACAATCAAAGTAAATGTAACGTGAGAATTCCAGAAGAACGTATTTTTCTGACATTTAATTATAAATACTGGCAAATAACAGTGTGATAAGTGAAATAAAATGTGGCGGTAAAAGTAATTAAAACTGGCACAAAGATGTCATATGATAAGATATTATTATTCATATTGACACGGTACTATTCATTCTACAAGTATCAAATGCAAGTATGGAATAATATCGATGCTCGTTTTTTTAAGTATCGAAGGGATGAAGTTTACACAGTCCATATTTTCTAGTAGTATCTAAAGTATCGGACAACATTGTTTTCTCAGCAAATAAAAATATCGATAACTGATACTTCCTCGAATCTATATAATCCTTCTAGATGTCTACTAAATGCGTGTATATGCCCGTCACGGAAATAAGAAAAATTTGATTATTACATTCGCTTTAAATAGAAACAAAATCGGCTTTCGAGCTGAATATATTTTTCAACGTGTATAAGTTTAGCTGACATAAAGATTGAGAACTTAGTAGTACTTTTATTTCAAATAGTATTTTTTGTTTATCTAATATCATAAAAATTCATCGAGAGCTTCACGGAAATTTCAATATTTTTCCTTATTTAACACTTAATGCATTTAGTTTTTTTTTTTTTATAAATTTGACAACATAAATTTTCATTCAGAATAAATATATTATAAAATTCATAAATTTAAAATTTAATAGAAATATTTCTAACTATTCATTTTCTTGAACATCTTGTATACATACAAAATCTTTCAAGTTGACCTATTTATAAAAAAAATTTACACTTTTCGTAACAACTTAAGAAAAAATTGCAAATCTAATTTTCAATAAAATGATTATGTATTATATAATTGATGCATTTTTTAAAATCAAGTTTCTATTAACAAGCTTTCTATTAATATTGATATTATATTATATATTACTATATATTATGTTAATGTTACTGTACTTAATAAAAAATAATTTCATTTTGATTCCAGATGTGGATGTATTCCTTAGGCAGAGCATTATTAGACACGACTCCCAGAGCAACGGCGTTAACGGGGACTGTTTCCGTTTCGCCCTCTTCCGCTTTGCAATCGGTGTTGGCCGCCATGACGGAACCTGATCCTCGTAGACGTGCCTCCTTGATGAATTTGCTCGATGTAAGTTCTTAAGTTTTAATGAAAATTCTTCCATCCTCAGATTTCCATCCTAAGACTTCTTCTTCATTTTTTCATCAATTTTTTTTTAAAGTTTATCAATACAATATTTAGAAACACAATTTAATGTATTTTTTTTTTGCACTCCTTAAAAGATCATGTTGCATGTTATTCATCGTCATAGCGAACATTCCAATGTATACATGAACAGATTCCGCTACATAACTGGCGAATATTGTATGGGGCGAATATTGTACAATCTGCTAATAAAAGGCCGAGATTACCGATTTTGCCACGGGATACGAGGTAGCCCGAAATTCCGAAGTTCGTTGCGTGCGCACTATCGATGGTTTGAAATAAATCAGCGAGTATCGCTTAGAGTGACTCTTCAGCGCTCGATATTTCATCCCGCGCCGTAACAACGCATCATTTTCCACGTGTATCTTTCGGAAAACAGTTTTCGATTCTCCAGTTTCATCATACCGTTCGATATGTTTGCAGTCCGATAAACGTAACATCACGGCGATGCAGACAATATCCAGTAATACATACTTTGATTCTTCTTATTTTACATTACTTATTTTAATGTATACTCTATGCACATATCTGTTGAAATATATTTTAATAATATATTTTAAAATAAATACATAATAAAATCAGGCATTTGCATTAATAGTTACGAAAAGTGAACTTCGAGAATAACATAAGTTGATCTCTCGATAAGATTTCTGGGTCACTGTATTAAATTAATTGTTTTAATAAGTGCACATCAAAAAAGTCACCATTATGTAGACATCATTGATAAATAATACGGATAGATACGTTATTCAATATCGCATATCGCTGCGACTTGGATCTTGACCATCCGCGAGTTAACAGCACCCACCCAATCGCAAGTGCAGTAGCATATAGCAAAATTAATTTCCACATCACGATTACGAATGGTGAGTAATTCAACGTCGCGAATGTATCCATACGTGCAGCTGCGTCGAGCCGGAATTGGATACAAACTACACACGAGGAATGCACAGCGCGCGCCAAGAAAGGCCAGGTCCTCTCCACCGTGAAAATAATAAAGCAATTTGTCGTTAATAATATCCAACGCTACTGTGATGACGAAATTTGAGAGACTCGTCGTGCAGCGTGTCAGAGCAACAATTCGGCCATTAGCTTGTAACTGCGACTAGCGTTGCAGTAAACGCGTGTACGTGTGCATCTAGTCCCGACGCTATGTGATCTGCATCCAGACATGCATCCATGTCACGATGCAAATCATAATATTTCAAGAGCCACTGGTATTTTGTTTAGGACATCACGTGCTTATACATTTCATTCATGATATTTCCATTTTGTGTAATAATTATTTAAATTACAGCATCCGTGTAAGAAAGCAGAAAGCAGACGTATAATAAATATTAACATTAGTTAGAAACATCAAAAATATGTTGATCGCTATACAATATTTTGCACTCAAACTCAAGTTACGATATCACGCGACTACATTCCTCGTTTGTTTGTTCTTTTACCTATCTTCCCGTCGAATAATCAATGTTGCAGATTCTCTTTTCGTGATAATTTCGCAATTATCTGCACGCGGCTTATATCTAACTTCGGCGGCTTATATCTAATGTTCGTACGGGATTAATCGATAGACCACGTGGACTTAATCATAGCCACCGACACCGTGCGGCTCTTGGGTGTCCACCGTCGGCTTGCATGAAAGCTCGCTTTAATTGAATCACCTATCACGGACAAGGCGAGCACGTTGCGCGAGCAGCATTTGTATGTCGAGACGACACTCGAGGTGCGGGAGGCAGGCGCTGATGATGATTTGCGTGACAAGAAATAGCGACGTAGCGGTTGCAGCGGTGAATATGCGTCTATCTCTAAGTGAAACGCGAAGAAGTGAATCAAAGATGAGATTTAATATCTGGCCAAGTGATATAGAATTTAATTAAAATGCCCTTGATAAATTTACATTCATCGAAATGCCGAGGCAAATAATAGACGTGAACTTAATTTACAACAGTAGTCCAGCTACAACAGTTACAACACAGCTGTAAATTTAATACTATTTAAAACTTTGTTTTAATAAAATATTAATTTAAGTCTTCTGTGCCCTAGATATTTAACATCCACAATTAAAAAGTTGTGTAAATCGTGTCTGAATGAAATTTCGCTTTATTCCCTTCCTTTCAAGAAAGAAGTAACTTTTAATTCATGAAAAAATATGTCACAGCGAGAAAACGTAGAACAGCATGTATCTTATCGATACAGGTTTTTTTATACGTATACATATACATCTATATAACATATGACCTATAAAACCTAACAAAAAATGAATAATTTACGAAATATTGTATATTTTATGCCAGAATATGCCAATAAAATATAAAATATCTCATAATTAAAAATTGACATTTTGACAATTGACTTTTGTATCTCAATATTTTCATATCCAAAATAATTAAGAGAGTATATTCATATTATGTATTCATATTATGTAAAAAATATATGATTCCATGAAAAAAAGAGCAATCATAAAAAAAAAAATATCGACAGTGATTACATTTGCGAATGAATCAATATTAGTCAAATTGAGGCCCAACATTTTATAACTTTTTGTTAGAAATTTTC